TTTCTGCTGGATAATCGCAAATAATGGCATTACTGGGAATGTGCAGCTTAGGATACATTTCTGAGTATAACATACAGCATTTTTAGTCTACTTTCTTTACTTTGGAAAAGAAAAAGTAGGCTTATGTGTCACCATGCTGTCTCTGTGCCTTGTGTTTGTGTATTCCCCACTATGAACTTTTAAGTGAATGAACAAAAGTTTATGAATCCTGGTATGTATATCATGGCACCTGAGCCAATCTCATCGGCATGCTTCATAAATCCCTCCCATCAGGCTGTCTCTGCATGCATATGCTTTATCGTTGCTAGACAACGGCTCGGTAAAAACGTTACTGCGGCAATGAATACTCACTCAACAATAGAAGAATTGTTCGGCCCGTCATTTTCTATGCGGTCCCTTTCGTGTCAAAGGAAAATAGTCCATTAGTTCCTTCCAAACATCTTGTTATTAATGCTAATACAGTGCATTATAACCATGTGAACATTACAAGATATAAAACTTAAAATATTTAACTTTCAATGAACTTGCAACAACCGTTTTTATTTCATGACAAGAAGAAAAACGTATGTTTCAGTCCTTTAATATTTTCGGTCAAAATTTTCACGTATGTCTGCAAGTTTTGTTTTCAATGACGATGGACAAATATCACGCAAACTGGAACACGCAAAATTATCAGAATTTCTGGGCTAGACGCCTAAGATATATTAGGATAGTTGATTTGATGAATTTTGGATAGACGGTCGAAGATTGATTCGTGCTGAGAACTGAGGAAGAGTTTCGTCCCCTTCACGACTCAGCTGAATGCCTGTCAGACACCAAATCGCTCAACGATCTCTCCGATCCTTGGTTCTTATCCGACAGATTTAATTTACTTCTATGAGTACGAACACGTCACCGCGTCGGCAGGCGACTGTCTTCCATGTGATATCGATGTCTTGGTCACGTGTAATTGCCGTGACATGATGGAGTGAATGTACTCAGTTGTTGTAGAGTCGGAAAATACGTACCGAAGTGTAACTGTGCGGAGAAAGGTTTTAGAAGCGTACATCATACAAACTGCACGGTGTGAATATTTGCTTCCATGTTGAGTAGGCGTTACAAATATTTTCCAATTGCGGGTTTTTGTGATTTTTCATAATCCTCTAACTCAGTTGAGGAGAGTTCTTCTTGCGAAGCAAATATTCTCTTATGTAGTCAATAAATTCGCCATATTTGTGGAACCCGAATTTTATTTGCCGTATTGACAAGAGCCAGCCACTGGTCCATGTTTTTTTTTAGTTGTTTAATGACGCTGTCACTGTCGAGGCAACAATTGTGTCGATGATAGGATGACCAATGAATGTGGAGGAGATGGTGGAAAGAAAATTGGCATGGGAAACCGAAGTGCTACGAGAAAACCTGCCTCAGTTCCACTTCGCCCACCACAAATCTCACATGACCTGACCTGGGATGGAACCCGGGTTGCCATTGTTGGAAGCTGGAGTCTAACCGGCACTGCCTCTGGCCTCTGTTATGAGCCAGATGGGTCAAGTACACGTCGTCATATCATGTGTCTTTAAGATATATTTTAATATTGTTCTCCCATTTATGCCCAGGTCTGCAAGTGGTCTCTTTCAGGGTGGCCAAATAAAATTTTGTAGACATTTGGCATCCCCCCCTTGCATGTTTCTTGCCACTCTCATATTATCCTTCTTGAACTATCATCGTAATGCTAAATGGTGAAAAGTATTAATTACAAAGTTCCCCGTTGTGTATAAACGTGTTATAGAGTACACTTGCCTCATTTCCACTCTCCTCCATGGCACTGCTTTACTTCAACTTTGTCCAGGCAGATAGCTGCTGTTCAACTTTTAAACGCATATTTCCCCGCAGCAGCTGATAGGAGCAGCACAAAGTCTGTGCCGTGAACCACGAATAAGAGTTAAAAAAAGAAGGAAGACAGGTATTTAAAAAATGTGAATCAAGATGTAAGACAAAGGTGCCCATTAGCGCACAGTTTGCTAATATACACAGAGAGGAAGTCATAAGAAAATGGCAGATTTAACGGAAAGATAAATTTGATATAAATAATACTGAGTTTAGTACCATCCTTTTCGTTGATGATCAGGTGATCATATCTAGTTCCGTAGATAATTTGCAGAACGTCATAAAAAAGAAATATTGTAACAATTGTAACACGAAAATATTCATAAATAAAACAGCCCCATAAGAAATAAAATTCCATTGGATGAATGAATTGTTTAACAAGTTTTACTTTTAATTATTTAGGTTTTCATATCGGTTCTGATAAAGAAATAGGCATCATTGTAAAATTATATAGATTTCAGAAAATATGTGTCATAGTGGGGGCTCGCGGTAGAGTAGTTGGTTGGGGCACTATGCTACAAGCCGGAAGGTCGCGGGTTCGAGTCTCGATGAGGTGGATTTCTTTAATTTACCTAATCCTTCCAGCCGCACTATGGCCCAGCCTTTAACATAAATGAGTATCAGGAATCTTCCTGGTGGGGTAAATGGTGGCCGGCGCGTAAGGCTGGCAAGCTTGCCGCCATCTATAAGCCGATTTTCTAGACAAAATGTTGGAGCCTCGACGTCTCACCACCCTATGGACCTTCACGGCCTGTTACAGGGATAGTTTACATGTGGCATAATTACTAGGACTTTAGTCGGTATCGACAGGAAAGAGACGCTAATCAAATTCTATAAAACTATGAAAATACCAACTCTTCTTTATGAATGTGAGCGATGGGCGCTCGCAGGACGAAAAGAAAGTAGATCGGAGGCCGCGGAAATGCACTTGCTGAGAACTACGTCAGGATACCGATTGATTAATCACAGACGTAATGAAGGTATAAGGGAATTACAAATTGATGACATAAAGTATAGAATTAAAGGTTATTAAATTATATGAGACAAACTCCGTCTTAAGTGCAACAATTTAATTGTAGTTCTTTCTTCTTCCCTTCCTCCACACTACATGTTTCGGCCCTAAATGGCCATCATCAGGTGTGTATTCTTACGTAGCTGCTACACTGCCCGTAGTTTAAAATTTAAATTTTAAATGATGGAAATTTAGGGCCGAAACATGTAGTGTGGAGGAAGGGAAGAAGAAAGAACTACAATTAAATTTTTGCACTTAAGACGGAGTTTGTCTCATATATATTGTGTGAGTGTAACAGGATGCTTAAATATAATATTATTAAATGAAATGGATAAAACACCTAGAAAAAACGGAGAAAATATATTTCTTCAATTATTCTCAAACTACAATCGTAGAGGCAGAAGAGACCAAGGACACCCATGTGGAAGACTGAGAGAACATTCTTTTAATTTAATAGTCATACTCTTAAACCTTGAAGCCGGAACAGGCTGTCTGGAGGAGCCCAAACCTTCTTACTGAAGATGATTAATGAACATCTAAATTGATTTGCTCACGGATCAAAATTCTATATTATTTATTTATGCCATCTCCAACCTGACGTCATGAAGTTATGAAAAAAAATGTGTCACTCACGCGGCAGCCATGCTTTAAAATTATAAAAACGATTGCTAAAAGTGGTCCATATATATTTTTAAAAAATTATCACCTCACAAATTTGTGAAACGCTAAGTTGATGTTTTGGTCGGTGGTCTGCAATTTGATTTTCCCGACCTAAGAAGTTTTAAAAGATATTTGGGTGGGTCATGGGTTTTCTCCTCCGTTTTATGAAGATAACTCATTAATTCATAGGTTCATTAAGCCCTCAACACATACACGTTCACATATACACCATGGCATGTAAACAGACAGATATGACACTCGTTAAAAAAGCATATCAGTATGTACGCGGGCGAATACCCGTTGTATATATATGTACTTGCTTCCTTATGCAAGCCATAAAGAATATTTAAATTCCACGTTGTGGCACTGTGTTAACCCATTATCTTGGTAATTACTGAGTTATTGCTCCTTATGTTGTAAAATAATTTTGAGTTTTATCATTTTACTCTCATGTCCATAGATATTAACATTTTTTTCATAACTTCGCTGGTAAAATGAAATCATCCTCTTTTTATTTCAGCCTGCTAGGGGATTAATTATGAATTCTGTCTATGAGCAAGAACAAATGCAGACCTACCACAAGTCTAACACTGACCGTGTGTCGGAGTACCCTCATTCTCTTACCAAGGTTAAGAAACTGCTTATGTAGAAGACGAACTTGCAGAAAACATTGCAACAAAAACTATATAAAATCCCGAGTGTCCTTTCTAACAACAATTTTAGATACATTTTCGTTCTGTATTCACACGCGGCACTGTATCCTACAACGACATGCTGCAGTCACAGCAAAAAATTGACTGATAGAGCTAAGCAAAGAGGAAATTATACTTTCATCTATTCTGCATCTAAGATATCAGAATCATTAGTGTGTTTACCTGCATGAACATAATACAATTTGCATTGTCATCCATCGGTCTCTAAAGCCTCTGGTCTTCATAATTTACATGGCTTTCTGCAGTCCCTGTTCAGACTAATGAAACAGCTTCTCGAAATATTTAATGCAACCTCTTCATCGGAATGTCTATCCAGTGCGCACTATAATATTCCCCATAATAATATACACCCTTAATTATAAGTATGGTGACATGACTTTTGTAGAGGTGTGCGGATAAGCTAATGCATCTGGATCTAATACGACAGAAATAGGAACACCGATACCTCATGTATCATAAATTGAGGACATAATATTAAAGATTTTTACAAGGGCCACTGCTTCCACTTAATTTCTGTAGGAACAGTTTTGCGGTTTCTTGTTTATCAGAGTGATTAGGAACTATTGCAGTTCCGTTGAAATAACAGTCATACCAAAGGAGATTATGAAGTATTTGCTGAACTTCAGAGTATTTTTTCTAATTCCTTTATATGAAGGTAGATACATTTTCCCCTCCAAATTCTTACAAGACGCTATGACCTACACAAAAGCAGAAACACGTAATATCTACTATTGCACAATTTACAATACCTTGAAAATTCCCTATGGAGAATTTCTGCTTGCAGTTTAGAACAGAACCAGAGAAGAGAATGGGACTTCAATGTGACACTTTTTGAAGATTGGAAACACACTTGTGGTATTTCACACATCCGACGAAACCCTAGGAGTAGCGACGACCTCATCACCTTCTCACGACTGACTATTTCTATAACAGCTTCCCTGTCTCTTCAATGTGACGTCAAGGCTTGTCTCAGGCTCGAATCTTGGCAAGTTGTGGCACCGCCATCCCAACGCAATTCATATCGCACTGCCACAACTTGCTCTGTAGAAGACGTCTTGATTAATATTTTTCAGAATCAGATCCTCAGCGAGTAAATTGGTAAGAGTGGCATCTTTCAGTAGGGCTCAAATTGAGTTACTTCCCGCAGAATTTAGAACTCAGGCTTAGCTCTTTACACTACTTCACTTGAGTTTCAAAACTAAACTAACTCAATATGTGTAGCTTCAGCTTTCAGGGTTTAGTCTCATCGTATGTTGAAACTGTTCCAATGTTTCGATGTGCAATACGGTCGCCATCTTCATGAATAATGTGAGGCGGAAGAAGGAAGTGGATCGACATGCAGGTCACGCAGTAGGAGTAAGCCTAATCGTGTTGCTGTCCAATGGGAAGAGGCTTTAGATTGGAGGAGAGGAAGTGAGGTCAGACTTTACTCAGTTTGTAAGCCTGTCCGTCTTCATGGATGAAATTATGGGGCTGTTTGACTATTTCGATGGCTTTACCACGAGGTCCAAACTCATTTGACGTCATTGCGCTCCACAGCCCTACACTCACTTCCATTGCGAGACCTACATCTCCGTCCATTTCCTCCTTCCCTCTCACAATCTCCCTGAAGATGGCTACTGCCGTATGAGTCGAAACGTTGGAACAGTTTCACCATACGACGCGGCCAACCCCCAAGAGCCGAAGTAAGACATTACATCCAGATCGTGAAAGCCTCTGGACAAGAATAATTCCCTAAAGCAGAGTCCTGCAGAAGCTAAGAGTCTCTCAGTTGATCAAGCAATTCCGCTCCTTTTATGATATCGTAAGGTTTATTACTGTATTCACAGGAGCCCTCCATCATTCACAGGAGCCCTCCAGAAGAATCCAGTCCACAGCCTCACATCAGTTTTCACTTAAGGGCCTGTCCTCTCGTCTACGTCTACATCTCTCAAATGGCTCTTTATTTCAGGCTTTCCTTCCAAAATGTTGTATGTAATTTCTCATTTCTGCTCTGTGTGCTGCAGGCCCCACCCATCTTATCCTCCATTTTATCACACAAATAACATCTAAAATTTTCTGATGATGGTACGCAGATGCGGACGTAGGGAGTAACTCTATCGATTGAGCCCAACTAAGTAGGCTTTCACCTGAGGACAGAGACAGAGTCCAGTCTCCAAAATGTCCTTTTTAATTAGAAAGATGACTTTGGATAATTTCCGAAAAGTTACTAACTGTAGAAATAATATCTAAATAAAACTGTAGGTGGTGACAGAGAGCCCTTCAGATCTGAGCCCTTAACATTTCGTACAGAGTAAGTCAACAAGAGCAGTAATTGAGTGCTCCTAAGGAGGAAGAGTGAGAGAAGACAAAATTATTTCTGAGAAAACCAGAAATAACGATTTTCTATAACGCAAGTGTGGGTAGTGTCTCTTCATGCAAATGCCAATCCTCATAACATTACTCACTTACTCACTCATGGAGCTGAGACCTTCTTGAGAAGTTGCCAATTGTGCAGCTACTCGAGAACTTCCCAGAATTTTATGGAATCCGAAGGTTCGTTACCATAATAGACTTGAAAGGATTCTGACGATGGTGTATGCTGTACAGAACTGTTAGGCTTATTTTGGACTCCATCCAGCGTCTGGTCTATAGAAAACAAAAAACCACAACGTTTCGGAGACTGGATCTGTCTCCGTCCTCAGGTGGATGGTTCAGGATAAACCTACTCAGTTGGGCCTGTTAGAAAGATCTAGTCTCAGTCACTGGACCGTGTTCACAAGAGCTTTCCACTGGTCACTATCCTTAACCAGATCAATCCAGTCAGTACTATCCCATTCTATCTCTCTAAGATCCATTATAATATTGTCCACCCGCCAACGCCTTGGTCTTCCCAGTGGTCTCTTTCCTTCTGGCTTCCCCACCAATATCCTATATACATTCCTCATCTACCCAATTCGTGCTACATGCCCTGCCCACCTCATCCTTCTTGACTTGATCATTCTAATTATACCTGAGAAGAGTACAAGTTATGAAGCTCCTCATTACGCAGTTTTCTACAACCACCTGTCACTTTATATATCTTTGGTCCAAATATTCACATCAACACCCTGTTCTCAAACACCCTCAGTCTATGTTTCTCCCGTAATGTCAGAGACCAAGTTTCACACCCATACAGAACAACAGGCAAAATTATAGACTTCATGTTCTAATTTTTGTGTTTATAGACAGCAGACGAGAAGGCAAAGGGTTCTGGACTGAATGGTAGCAAACATTATCCTCAGAACATCAGTAAGCGTTAACTTTCTCTTAGAAAAACGAAATTAAATCAATGATATTGTTTAAAGAAGAAATATCAGCGTAAGGCTCATATAATTCGGCTTTGCCTATTTCTGTATGGGTGTCTGGAACAATGTGTGTGGTGTTATGTAAAGTTCATTGCGACCCGGTTACTTTGGATCAGGAAAAATTAGATTAAACTGGATTACGCTACGTGGGGTTAGTGTAAGATAGATTTAATTTAGGTTTGGTTTCCTACATTAATGATGTCACAGGCTCATCTCCTCCCAAGAGCACCTCAACGTCCCTGTCCTGTAACTGACGTCATCGTCCTCATTGTTCTGGATGTCAGCTCGAGCGGTGACGTCGATTCTGACTTTTATAGGGAACCGATGTCTCCAAAATATTCCGAAAAATCTCGCCAAATTATTCCTCTGGAATAACGGTTCGGCGTCTGTAGAGGCATATTTGGCATATTGCATGTTCGTAAAGGGCAGCATTAGACCTGTGCTTAATAACACACCAAACCTTAAAAACGTATGGATAAATGGAGCTATAGCTCCGCGTATTCTCAACCTGGAGGAAAGGACCTGCGGTACCCATTTAGGCTGGGTGGGCTCCAGAGCGATTCTTGGCTCTGTGGAGAAGAGAACAATGTGTTGCCTCGTAGGAGAATCGAATCGCGATTCTTCGGTCATCTATCACGTAACCTAGTCTGTAGCGATTGAATTCTCCCGGCTTATCTTCCATGTTCCTTCGCATGCAAATCTGACTGAAATTTTGTATCCCTTTCGCCTTGCATATTGTAGTCCTGAGCTGAGGGGAGTTGGCTTTGGATCTGGAGAAAATGCGATGCACTTCGCTTAGTATACCCGTAAGTTAAAACAGTGAGTTCGTCAGAGTAGATTACATTCGGTTTTGTTCCGTTTATGTTCGGTTTCATAGTATCTTGATGTCGCTATCGCATGTGCCAGCAAGCCAGTGTCACGGTTCTCGAAATATACGCCATCGTGGACCTCGACAACAAGTTAGCCGTCCGTCTGGGCGTCGGCGTCGATACTGAGTCGAACAAAGGCTGGGAATTCGCAACATATTCTGAATTAAAGTTCGTGGCCTGTAGTCCGTAAGCGAACTATACCGACTGAGTGACCGCCGCTTGTCAGCGAAGTTAGTACCAACTTTTTAGCGGATAGAGGGTGTCGCGTGGTCAGCGAAACGAATCCTCACGGCCGTTAATTTCGGTTTTCTAGACGGAAACCGCTATTTCCTTGAAACAGGTCCTCACTTATCGTCGCGAGGCTGAGTGAACCCCGTTCCAGACCCACTATTTCTCAGAAAATCTGGTAGCGCCGGGAATCGAACCCGGGACTCTGACCACTAGACCACAGAGGTGGTCATATTCTGAATTATATTTGTCAAAGCTTTTCCCTAATATGTAGTATGTTTGGCGTCTTTGACCCGAAGCTGTCACTCTTAAATACTGCGACTGCGCTTCAGTTTGAATCTCTCTATTCTTTTTATGTTATTTCGTTTTGCTGATTGTTTTCATCTTAAGTAAACCAAGGGTTACAGAAGAGTTTATTTACACCCGGAAATTTTGTTAGATTAGATTGTTAGATTATATCATGGTAAGATTACGGTTTTCTTGCATGTGATGCCGTCTAGTTTCTAGGTAGATAGACTTCCAAACTTTTCAGATGAACCTGCTACCCTCATATTTATAGTACAAGACTGGAACGTCCTGCAAAAATGGTACGCTAGATACTGAAAGGAGTACTATAACTGGAACCCTCCTTTTCTTCTGGCAGGTACCATATTACCAGCATGACTTCCACCCTGAATATGGAGGTAGCAAGTTCCCTGAAACGTTGGTACCCATCAACTAGACTACAAGGCATCACGTTCCAGAAGTTCATAAACAAAACTTTCAAAATCATAAGATCTTCATATCCCATATGGGTTAGATTAGATTGCGTTATGTTGCTTGAAGTTGGTATGAAGGATCATTCATTTTTTTCTTTTTCTTGCTTTCTTGATATCACAGATGCATGCACTAACAGTAAGATACCGGAGCCATTGTCGCCGCAATACACGTAATCGTCTTTAACGGGGCCAACATCGGTTCGATATTCGAATATTTCCAGCATGCACTAAATTATTCTCCCAGACTAAAGCGTCGGAGTCGGTATAGACGTATTTCGCCCGACGCTGTCACTCAGCAGTCCTGTGCATGGCCATATATATTAATCATATTTAGGTTGTTTTATTTTTACGTTTTTCTGCTCTGTCCTTTCGTGATTCAGTATTGTATGGTAGGTCACTTTGTGAGATTATGTTACGTTATGTTACATGAGGTCAATGCGAATTAAATATATATTAGGGGGCTGTTTTCAGGAAGGTAAATGGGAAAAGAACGTTGGCACATGAAAATGCACACTCTCCTTACACTTCTTAATCTGTGGATAACATTATAAAATAATAAATACGCGCTAAAAGTTTGTGACGATTCAAATATTATGTTTCTGGTCATTATCCGTCGTCCTGTCTCTATCTAAAAATACTGTCCTGATTATTTTTCAAAACACACCGTTTCAGAGACTGGATTCTGTCTCCGGCTTCAAGTAAAACCTACTCAGTTGGGCCCAATCGCTAGAGCTAATCCCTATTTCCTGACACCTGGTGTCCAGCTGAGTAGGTTTTACCTGAAGACGGAGACAGAATCCACTCTCTTAAATGTTATGTTCCGAATAATAAGAGGACAGTGTTTTTATATAAAGACAGGATAATGGCCAGAAACATAATATTTGTATTATAAAATGCTCGTAATATCTCGCCCGTTAGTTCTAGTACGTCGTCTGACTCTAAAAGTCTTCTAGAGAAATGGATCGCCTGAGTTTTCCCTGCATTGATCTTTACGTTCCAGCGCTCACACCACGGCTTCACTTAGCGAGGCCGCGTTGCAGTTTGCGGAGAACACGACGTGCATGTTTCTCTATCGCGTAAATACAGGTATCGTCCACGAACAAAGCAAGATATTTTCCAGATGCCGCGATGGTATCATTTATATTTAGACTGTAAAATGCTGGGGATCGGATGGAATCTTGAGGCACTCTTGCCGCTACTTTTCTTTGGTCGGTCTGTCGGTTTTTTCTATGTCTCCGTTGGTCTCCTTTATATGACTTCGGGGCGGACCGCATGAAGAACATCATTCTTTTATTGTTGCTTGCATGTCCTTTTCCAGGCAACCTGATTGCCGCGCCATTGCCTAGCGCTGGCCTGCGTATCCGTTTGCCTAGGAATAACCGGGAATCACCGCGTTCTCAGGCTTCCTTATCCCGGCATTTTACCGACAAGTCCCTAAGGTTGTTTACCTATGATCCCTTTGACTGTCCATAACTAAGAGTTTCAACCGTTTCACCCGCACACGAACAACCAACCAAACGCAACGTAGCTAACGTAGCAATATAGTCTCCGTGTGTTATCTGAGGACACAAGAAAGCTGGTTGTGTTTGGTTGGTAATTTGTGTGCGGTTGAATAATAGAAGGCAGTGATCAGCAGCATCAGCAGTGTTAGAGTCCGTTAGAAATGGTGAGTAAGCGTGATTATATGACGGTTTGTAACGAATTATTGAGCAAGGTGTTTAGTTTTGATGTTATTCTTCTAATTATCAATAGAATTGATTCTTATAATATAAACGTGTTAGGTTAATATGTATATAAGTCACTTCTGTATTGGTTGGTTGTTCAACATAACCTATATTTTTGACATGACTAAGGCGATTTGACTGTACATTCGTTAAGTTATAATAATATCTTCAGTGTATCATATATAATATGCCCATTTCTTTGTATCACACTAATGTATGTCATAAATTTCTCAACATTTATCTCATGTTTGATTTATAGTTCCGTAATCAGTACGACAGCGATGTGACTGTATGGAGCCCACAAGGGCGGCTTCATCAAGTGGAGTATGCAATGGAGGCTGTGAAATTGGGTTCTGCAACCGTCGGACTAAAGAACAAAACCCATGCAGTACTGATAGCACTGAAACGTGCCTCTTCAGAATTGTCAGCCCATCAGAAGAAAATTATCCCCATTGACACCCACATTGGCATTACCATTGCTGGTCTTACTGCAGATGCAAGAATACTTAGGTACAAGATTGTTGTTATTATCTTAAAGTTTGAATTGTGCTGGGGAGGTTTCTTTATATATCACAATGGCTGCACAGTTTAAGGCATGAAATGTCGAACACTGGGATCGTGGGTTTGAATCCTACTCAAGGCATGGCTGTCTATTTGCGTTTATTCTGTGTTTGTGTTAGGTAGTGGCCTTGTGACAGGCTGATCCCCCATCCAAGGAGTCCTACCGACTGTGTTAGATAAGAAACCAAAGTGAATCGAAGCATTTCACGGATACCCTATGCTCTAAGTGGGAGCAACAGGTATAGAAGAAGATTTATATTTATATGGATAAACTTCATTGAAGGCCATCTATATTGAAATTGGTTTAATGTGAGATTTGAGGTTTCCATGGTGTTGAAGATTTGGGTTATGACCCTGTGCTGTCTGGTAGGTGGTTCTGAACACTTTGGAGGAACCTGCTGCCTCCACCTGCTGAATATAGTAGCAGGTTCCTTTAAAACTGTTGATAACCACCTACTGTACTTATCAGTGACATAACTGAGAAGACCATCTAGGTTATTTTAATTATTTTAGTTGTCTTATAATGTTCTCCACAGATAAGAAATTTAAGGAGAGTGTGCGTTTTCATGTACCAATGTTCTTTTCTAATTTATCTTCCTGAAAACAGCCCCCAAATATATTCTTAATTCATTTGGTTATTCAGTTATGGTCTGTTTAAAGAAGCTTTCAGTAGCTCAGATCACAGCATACGGTATTCATTCATTCATTCATTCATTTATTACCTTTATTTTCCATATATCCATACAGGTAACAAACCTAGGATGTGGAAATGGTACCTTTGAAAATAGATACATATACAAATTATATGAGTCACATAATTAAATTACTTACATTAATTGATTAACATAAATAATAATATAAAGTAAAAATTTAATAAGATAATTTAAAAATAACTTACTATAAAACTTGAATTAATACAAGTTTATTTAAATTACCTATATTAACTGAATTAAATACATTGCAAATTTACACACTTATGACCAAGTATGTCGATAATATTCATTCATGGAATGAATGATTATCAACAAATAATAAATTGGAAGGGCAGTAGAGGTAATCAGTTGTGGTGTAATCTAAGATACTGTCTTGCCATTTGCGTGGAGGAACTGAGGAAATTCATGAAATATCCCAGTCAGAATAGCCAGTCTGCTGTCCAAGATTTAAAGCAAGTACCTTGATATATGAAGGAGTGCCAACTCAAACTGCTTATCCTTTGAATTTAGGTAGTGGGTTTTGTGTGCTAGGAGCTCAATCCCACAGTTTTGGGTGGCATGCAAGCTAGCATTAGGACATGTTTAGTTGTGGCAATAACACTGTTATTTATACTGTATCCATTTCGTAGTGCAACTTAATGCACTGTGTCACTGAAACCATCACTTGAAACTGGAGGGAAGTTGTGGATGCTAATTTGTCTTGAACAGTATAAGTAATAATATGCTTCCTCTAACCAGTAACCATCTCAATGGTGGTTCAGCATTAAAGTGTTCCAGTGTAATAAAATGTGTTGAGTGAAATAGCTCCTTCTAAAAGTCATGGAACTGGTCTGCTTGAATTAATGTTCGTGTGAAATGACTGGTAGGATTAGAATCTTTTGTGATGAATAACTGCATTGAAGTCATATTGGGCAGTTAGCCATTTTATCTTAACACAGCTGAGTGCTTGAAAGAAGTTCATCATAAAATGATACATATTTATCCTTGTATTACAATGGCAGAGTGTTCAGTCTTCATAATCATTTAAATGTATGCTTTTACATATTTTAAAAAGTATAAACTAACTTATACAAAAATTATTTCCCCTGGATGGATACAGTTTGGGAGCTGGGGTAGCGCAGCTGGTATAGTGACTGGCTATGGGTTGGAAAACCAAGGGGTCAGAGTTTGAGTCCTGGTAGGATCAAGAATTTTCTCTTTTCCATGTCGTCCAGACTCGCTCTGGGGGTCACCCACCCTCCTGTCTGAAGGGTATGGGGGGACTCTTTCCTTGGTGGTAAAGTGGCAGAAGCATGAAGCTGACCACTCACCCCCAACTAATGCTGAGGTCAAGAAAATTTGAATCTATACACCCACTCCCCCATATGCCTTCATGGCATAGTCCTTAATTAGTTAAGCACAGGAACAACTTTACCTTTTATAAACTAACCCCTTGATACTGCATTGTCCAAGATGGTTCTCTTGCTGTGTAATTTCCTATTAACTGACTGACTTTTCTGCCTTTTAACAAAGCTGTTTCAACTGCACTTAATATATGACCATGAATTCCCTGTTGAGGAACACATAGATTCTACCTTCACCAGAAAATCCTTTTACTGGGCCTTATTTTGAATAATTTTGTTCCATTTTATGTCATCTCAGTCTGTGTTCTCCAGATTCATTTTAATGTTGTCCTTCCATACTGACTTGCAAGAATTCCACTTTAGCAATTTGTCTTGCATACTAGGTTATGGATAACAAGAAGTATCACATAATCTGGATTAAATTGTAGATTTTTATGATTTCTTAGGCATAGTAGTATCCTTATTTATATAACTTGCTTTAGACAGTAAATCATATTTTCAGGGATATTGCTACCAATTGTGTCTGTTGGACCAGTACAGAAGTATGGTAAATAGCTGCCTGTTGCATTCAGCAATATGCTAGTAGGCAGTTTTGTTTAAGGCTTAGCATAAATTCTTAACAGATATCTGTGGGTTATGTGATATCATTCTGTCATCTTTGCAGTTTGTATGTGTTTACTTCTTCATGTATATTGTGTGATCCTCACTGTTGGTTGTCCAATACTGATTCTGCTTGGCTATGAGACCACATGCCTGATTCTTACACCTGTTTAAATTCTGTTTTACTTTGCCTGGCAGCACTCTGTGCTCATGTCATGTTATTCCCAACCAGTAATTATGAGGCAGTGAATTTTCAAAATATAGTGACTCTTAGTATTATGTTGGTATGGTTTTATTAGGGCTGCTATACTTAAATAACTCAAATTTTGTGGGGGATTAGGTAGGTTAGGATGGTTTGCATCATTTGTTGGTCAGTAACAGTAAATAAACCCAAATTCAGAAGAGGACAGTGAACAGAAGTGCTTTTTCCATTATTACGCTAATCATGATATAATTTTATATTTTCAGTCGCTACATGAGAACCGAGTGTCTGAATCATAAATATGCCCATGATGCCTTATTACCTGTTAGTCGGTTGATAACAATGCTTGGAAACAAGATGCAAGCATGTACCCAGCGTTATGACCGTCGACCATATGGTGTTGGACTCTTGGTAGCTGGTTATGATGTAAGCTTTTAAAAATTACCGTTTTTATTATGTGACCTATTTATCATCATAATACCTTGGCTTCCACTTCCTGTTCTGAATCTTTTTATTATTGTATATTTTCACAATTTTTGACTATGTAGCTGAAAGCCGTTACACTTCAGAAAACTAAATAAAGCATGTTCACTGTGTTTTATATTAATCAGTAAAATCTTATTACTGCTATCACCTCAGGATATTTCAGCATTCACAGTTGTATCTTCATTGGTTTTATCCTGTTGTGTTCTACAGATATATATATATATATATATATATATATATATACATAAGAGGTATGTTACCATCAACACAACAAATACAGTTCATGATTACAGATATAAAGATACATGTCATGTGGAAAGCATGCTAATATCCACACACTACAACCCGTACATTATAGAAACTTGTTGTTGGACTTCACAACTGGGCTTACTACGTAGAAAGCTTCTACAATAAGACCTTACAACAACATACATGCCCAATTTCTACACTGTAGCAGTGAAACCTAAAATATTTAAGTTGGCATACAGTTCTCAACTTATGATTGGAAACCTTTCACATTTTTTAACATTTTTAATATACTGCAACATGGGATGGCGCAACGTGAACTCTGCATTTCCATGAGTGACATCACATACCCCCACTCCTTCCATCAGTACGCAACGCTTGGTAAACACCCCTCCTGCTAGGGTGTGACATCACGCAACAGGCGAGTCTGTGCAGCGACTATTGCTAGGCAATCGGTAAACACGGCGATTACGCAACAGGGAAGCGAGGTGCGTTTTCCGCTGTCCGACTGAGGGTTTATAAGAGAAACTGGAATGCCTAAGGAATGTGGAAGTCTAGCAGTCGCCGAGTACAGTTGCAGTCTAGCATTCGCCGGAGTTAGTTGAGCATTAGCCGTCGGTTTCCAGCCTTCGAAGAGATGACGTGAAGTCCAGCAGCAGTGAGTTGTTGTTAAGTTGTATCGAGTAAATGGATTCAAGACAGTCGAACCCAGGAAATGACTACCGCAGATGCCAGTAATTGGGACACTGTAAATTGTGTAAGAGTAAGAGCGAGTGTTCAATAAATTTGCTAAGATCCAGAACGGTGTGAAGTTATTTATCGCGTTACAAACGCCCAACATGTGACAATACTTTTTAATATACCTTTAATATTTTTATAGCATTTCAACATATTATAATTTGATATACAATAGACCCTTCTATTTGTCTTTCATTTTATTTTATGTATTTGCTACTTATTATAACATAAACTTCAGGCAAGAGTTTTATGTCAGTATATAACACGATGCGTTGCACCAATAAGGATCTGTATCGGTATTTCCAATGACTGCGTATTCCTGTGTACAACTGCCTGATGATGGTCTTATGTGGCCGAAACATGTAGCAGTATAAGATCAAAAATAAAACTGTATTTGTTGTGTTGACTGTGACATAATTATATATATATATATACAGTTGTATTTATAGTTGGTAAAGTTTTGACAAAATGTAGTAAACTCTCATATTAGTATAATATTTCTTTCTTACGTACATAAAATGTGTTCAGTTACTACCCAAAACTCATTACAGAGGTGATAAAATCAGGACATTCATAGATGATTATGGTTTTTTGTTATTTGCTGATGAAAAATTCCTTTTTCTATTGGTTATCTATTGTAATGGCCCGTATTTATGCTTCTGGGTTTGTAGTGATGGCAACTATTCGCCAGTTTCAAAACAGATATACATTAAAACATGTCATGTTATCTGATGTCACATTATTTTGCTATTGGGCATATGGCCACTTACAGAGGAAATGCCTTAGGTATTTAGTAGAACCATTTCGTTTCATTTCATTTTATTAGCATTCAACAATCCATACATACAGGTATTACAACCATTTGGATAGGGAAATTTTCAGTTTTACATGTAATTCTCGTGCGTATCTTTACAGTATACACTGTACCACCCTAATATAGGGGGGTGTCATCTGAATAATATTATCTAGATCTAGTTACGATTAATTTCATTTTCTTTACAGAAATACAACAAATTAATCAGCTACATATTACATTTACACTTGATGAATCAAAAGACATAAATTCATCTACAGAATAAAAGGAATGTTTCAGCAAAAAAGATTTTAATTCCTTTTTAAATGAGTTAAAATTTTCCCTTTGTTTTATTTGATTGGGACCTTATTATACAAACTAATTCCCATATTTATCACACTCCTCTTAAAAAGAGCTGTATTACAGTGCTGTACATGAAAATTTAATTTTCTTTGTGTGTTATAATTATGAATGTCTGAACTTATTGCCATAAAAGCCTTGAATTTTTTGATAAAGCATGTCACCTCCAATATATACAGAGAAGGCAATGTTTAAACATTTTAATCTTTAAAAATCTGTCTACATGACATGCGACTACCAATACCACTAATTACTCGAAGAACCCACTTTTGCAATTTAAAAATGCTTTTACTTTCCCCATCCCCACCCCGCAATAAGATACAATTTCTCATACATGACTCAAAATTCGAAAAATAAATTATTTTTATCATATATGGACTTATTATTTCTTTTAATATTTTCACCATATAAATTACTTTGCATAGCTTTGCTTTTAGAAATTGAGCATGAGCGCACCATTTTAAGGTTTCTGTCATGTGAATTCCAAGAAATCTCAATTCTGACTGATATACTATTTCTGTATTATTAAAAACTATTTGTGGTCTTAACGGATCTCTCCCGCTGGTTTGAATGAAATGACATGGCAGATTCTTTTTAGTATTTATTACAAGGTTATTTTTTTGAAACCATATTTCTAATTCTTTCATAACATTCATTATTTTATATTGAAGGTCAAGTTCATCTTTTCCAGTAATTAACAAATTGGTATCATCTGTGTATAAAACCAGCTTTGCTCCTTGAACATTTTCTGTAAGATCATTAATGTACAGTAAAAATAAAAGCGGCCTCAACACTGATCCCTGTGGTACACCATATTTCACTTTCCTACATGATGAATTATAACTGGTTTTGACACTGCCATCAGTGTTTTTTATTTCTACATATTGGATTCTGTTTGACAGGTAAGACCTGAACCACATATTTGGCACCCCTCTTATGCCATATGAGTCTTGTTTCTCTGAAAGTATATCATAGTCTGTTACATCATATGCCTTTGATAAATCAAAAAATAATCCTATGGCATATAGGCCATTATCTAAGGCCTCCTGTATACTTTCAATAAAAGACTGACTTGCTGTGTCAGTTGATTTATTCTTTCTGAAGCCATTTTGGGCCTCTGATAATATATTATTTTGAATTAAAAACTGCATTAGCCTATTATACATCAGTTTTTCTAATATTTTGGAAAATGCCGATAAAATGGATATCAGTCTATAGTTTTTAATATCATGATATTCCCCTTTTTATGCAGAGGTATCACTTTAGCTAATTTTAATCTTCCTGGGAAGGTGCCTGAGCTCAAAGAGGCATTCAGTTAATTGTGTTCTGCTTTATAATTCCAATTAGGGGCTGATGTACATCAAATTAAATTTTGTTTTTGTAGCCAATCAGTACTTCTTCTGTGAGCTTTAGTATCTCACTTCACCAGTTGTGATATTTATTTTTCACCTAAAACATTCATATTCAAACCGAGTGCCACTGTAGTTACAGGTAAATCAGCCTTAGATGGGTTAGCTTTCTTTGCAGTGTTGGGAGTCATCTCATTTGGTTGGAACATGGTAATAAATTTGAATAATTCATGTATTTTAAAAGTAATAGCATTCAATCCATCTAATTATTAAATTACAAACTTTTACAACTCATAACACTAAGTTATATACACCAGTCAGTTCTAAGTGTTGCTGTTTATTGATCATTCTCCTTTAGGACCAGGGTCCACATGTGTACCAAACATGCCCATCAGCCAATTATTTTGATTGCAAAGCCATGGCGGTGGGTTCTCGTTCCCAGAGTGCTCGTACTTACCTTGAAAAGCATCTTGAAGAATTTGTGGATTGTGACACAGATGAGCTGATCAAGCATGGACTCAGGGCACTTCGTGATACATTGCCTAATGAAGTTGAGCTCAACACAAAGGTAACATCAAGCTCCACATTTGGCTCTTTATCTTATATGCAATAAAATTTTGGAAGTTAGACCATCTATATCCATTAGCAGATGTATAAACTTTCATGCTGCAGGCTACAGTGATTGCAAGTGTCAGGTAAAGGTATGCTTGTCCCTGAGCTTAATTAATTAAGCACCACATCATGAAGAAATGTGTGGGAGAGAAGGTATAGCTGCACAATTCTTGACCTTAGCAATAGATGAATGGAGGTGAATGGTGAGCTTCACACCTCGGCTTCTTCAAGTGCACTTTTATATAAAATGTGAAGATTGGGACCTTCTTATGTCAGTGATATTGTGGTTGAGGAATGATATTATGGTTTAGTAAATTGTTCTGGCTGCAGATGACATCTAGATAGCAGTAAAAGTGTTATGATAATTTAGAGATGAGGTATATGAATGACAGTTATATAATTACTTTTTCTGCAGCAGTTCCCCAGGGAAGGCTGCCTGAAGTGGGGAAGGATGCAGTAGATAGGTTAATTTATGTTATAGTGGCCTTAACAATAGCTGAAATAGTTTCAAAGTGTTAGGTAGCATATTTAAATGATCCTGTATTCAATTCCAGTTGCTGCCATAAGAAATTAAATTTAATGAAGTGTATCAGTTCCTGAACATTTTAATTTCTTGTCCCCCCAGAATGTATCCATAGGGATTGTGGGGAGGAACACCCCATTCAAGGCATTTGATGAAGAAGGGACTGCTCAGTATCTGAGAATGATCGAAGGGGAGGAGAAACGTGGTGGGCCGCCAGACACTACAGGCCAGGATCCCACACCTCCACAACCTCCACCAGCTGATGATGGCCCACAGGACCCTATACCTGCAGTCGCGATGGAGACAGAGTAACCATCTTGCCATCCACTCATGTTGCTATGTTATTTCCTGCAAAGTTTGAGTTCTTGACTAAAGAATCCTAGCCGCGACCATGCATAAAGCTTCATTCTTTATTTCATTATGCTTATGATGAAGTTTGTTGAAGGTTAAATTTTTTCCACATTTTGTAATCTGATGGAAATATCTTTTTCTAATATATTTTACTAATATTCTTCCAGAGTTCATTGATGCATATGACTGTAATTTCTTAATTGTTATTCAAGCATCATGTTTCAGAATATTCCTAAGACAAGACATTCTCGATACAGATACTGGTACAGTGCTGTTATTATATGTAAATACTAAAGATCTTTTAGTAGTTTGATGGCATATGCAATCTCTTGGCCTCACTTTGTACAATCCAATTCTTGTTAAAATAGCAGTATTGATTTTAATACTTAAAATCAAGTGTATTTAAGATTTAAAACAGTTTGGAGCAGTTAATCATGTGTATAATATCAAATACCACATTCACATTAGATATTGCATACACATGGACAGTTGTAAGATAAGTAGGCAGTAATGGAAAGATCAAGTCAAAATGCTTGTTTATTACTGTAATATTGTCATAGAAACTTTTCAAGGTAAATATCATCACTAATGCAGTGTATTATAACTTAACAAACACTTCTGCTATAACGGTAGTTTTATTAAATATGAACTGATGAAAAATAACTTTATAAGTGCTTCTCCATATTATTGTATCATTCATTAGCACCTTAATTTAATTCAAGGAAAAATAAGAAGAGCTTGATGGAGGAATTATCTGTGATGTGTCACAGTGTCAGTCATGAGCTAATTTTTTTATTAACCTCCACTTTTTAAATTTTTATTTCTAAATCATGTTACTTAGTTGTTTCTGAATTTATATTTTCTATTTTCCATCTTGGATTTGTGGTTCTTAGAGGAGTGACTATGAATATACAGTCTTCTGGGTTGTACCATCGTGTAGTGTGGAGAGATCCCAACATTTCTAAGTAATATGTTGTTTCCAGGGTTGAAGAATAAGCGAAATAAGAAACAAGCAGAAGCAAGCAACTGAGCTTTGAAATTTTGGGCTCCCTCTGAACTGCATTATGTTACAACCCAGAGGACCTCATGCTTTCCATTTTCCAGTTTAAGTGTACCATGTTTTATATATGAACGTTGTACACAGAGTATTTGTAACAATCTTTGCTAAGATTATTACAGTTTGTAGCTTAGCTTTATTGACTCAAAGCTCTGCATGGGATGAGAATGTTTAACTCAGCTAACTGTAGGATATAATATTCATTGTCATTATTCAAGAAAAATAATATGTAGAAGACATTTAACATAATATATATTGATGTGAATGTTTTCTAGAGTATATTCTAGGTACTCTCACTGTTACAGATTATTCTCTATCTTGTTTTAATGCATAATACCATACAGTGTTTCCTGAAACTATTTTCATTTCAGTTTAAGTGAAATTATTTAAACCAACCATAGCATAGAATTTATATTATTCTAAATATATCAGTACTGATATTTGTGTATAAGAATGATTTTAAATTTACTTCACATAATTACTGTTGGTATCCTGTACTAAAACTACCTTATTCAGTAATCAGAGATGAAGCTGCTAATTTAAAGAACAGAGATACTATCATGTAATACTTATTTTCCCCATAGTTCTCTTGTTGCTAACTAGAAATACATTTGGCATTCAGGACTGAGGCAATTTATGCCCCTCAGATGAATAATGATCTTCACGTTTGCTTGTTGGAAATTTTGTATGTCTCAAGACCTGCAATCCTCTACATGTAATAGAATTAGAAATTTATGTCATCAGTGCATTCTTTTGTTCAGTGGTATGTTTTCTATTTCACTTCTTAAGGAGAATGTGAAACCTATAATATGACGTCACCAGACAGAAGAAGATGTGAATTTTCTTCATATGCCTATACAGTTGAAGTTTTTAAAGACAGATTCATGTTTAAATTGATTAACTTACATAATATTTTGCAACGCTATATTATTTTATTTACATTAATTTTGGTAGGAGATTAGCCACTGAAATGTAAGGAAAATTTACAAGGCTGCAAATTTCTGTTGGCATCAATTGCTGTTTAAAAACAATAGAAGTAGTACATACACAACATATGGAGATTGACTGTGCTATTCTACTACAGTGAAACCCATAGTATATTTTCTGTCATTTAAAATTTGGTTTCAGTAATCTAAAGCCAATAGTCTCACTGTCAGATTCTGATATTTAAGATGTTTGTAGTTTAGTGTTCAAATCCAGTGATTCTTAAACAGATCTAATTGGGAGTTTTACTTCATATGATTTCATGCGCATGTGCCATAACTTCTGTGTATTTTGCTATTAACATACATATTTGTGCTTGTCCAGTGAAAGTGATATATATTGCTAAAATGCCTATACATTAGTTTTGAGGAACTGAGGGTAAATGATGTCTCAGTATTACTTTGTGAAGCATTACAACATGGCCACGGTTTGGTATCACAGAACAACTCTTACCTTGATAATGCAAGATTGTAATTAGAAGGGATGTAACATAATGGAGTGGAATTATTTGCTAATAATGAAATAAATTTGTTTCAATTGTTTTACTTTTATTCAGTATAAAATCACCAGCATTCATACTGTGGGTAGAAACATTAATGTTACTCTCATATAATAACAGTGAAACAGGTTTGCAGCACCAGTGCAAGGACAGCATATTTGCAGGTGAAGGAAGTCTGTGCAGTAGATATTAGAAAACAATGGAAAACAATGAAAGAAAGTGCCAAAATAAATCTGACTGAAATAGTGAAAAAGCCATAGGTCATGAGAGGGGCTAGCTTTTGGGATGTGACACCATGTAGTATGGGAGGAGCTCTTGGAAGAGCATACTGTCCATCTTCCGGGTTGAAGAAAAAGCCAAACAAGCAGCAAGCAGAGGAAAGGCATATGATCCTGTTACACTACATGACACATCTTAGACAACAGTGAGAATCTCACTTGTCTCACGTGTCATGAGTCATGAGATTCAAGTTTCTCATGGTGGTGACAAGATTAGTTTCTCTGGGGATATGATGCCATGTCGTCTGGTAGATCATTGCCAATGTTTTGGGGGAATCTTCTGCTTCATTTTCAAGATACCAGAAGATGGCAACAGTATTCATTGGGAATAATTACCAGATTACATGGAATCACATCTCCAAAGACAGAAATCTTCTAGACACCCACTGTATATTTGCTTTACATTGAAGAAGGCCATTTTGTTCTTGGAATATCTGTTATTTAAGCTCATCCATGTGTCAAAAGGCTGTAATGCACGTGAAACCTCCAGCTACTTATTATACAATTTGACTCCCTTTATATGCAAATTGCTCAGCCAATCCACTGGAAGAGACGCATGCTCTCCTGTCAACTTGTCCCATGTATGACTGGACCCATAGCACAATTGAAAACAAATAGAAAACCTACCCACATCACACCTGATGCCAGAAGTGGTCCTTGTTACTGCATACACATTTCTTGCACCTCCATAAAATGTTCATATTCATGCAGTCCTCTTTGGAAACAGAGCAAACTGTAATCTTGAAACCCAAAACTTCAAATTCTGGTCTCCTCTTCAAAGTGTCCCGAGGGATTTCTAAGGATATTGTTCAAGCCTAGTACTGATTTCATCCACTTTCTCCACAGTGACCACTTAACATTTTGATCTGGTTCTTTTTGTGTGTATGTGTGTCCTGTAATGACCCTGTTGGACTACACTTATTTAGTCTGCATGAGTATTTTTTTATTTGGAACTGATAGCATCCTGAAATTTATGCCAGAATATTTTCTTTACTTTTCACATGGGTATTGCACATGAACTTATTCCAATGTGTAACTCTAATGTGAAATTTTGACAGAAGGAAAAATGTGACTGAATTTTAATACAGCAGTGGGGATTTCGGACTATAGCTGACTGGAACATAACACTTAAGCATACTTCAGGATGGCTTTTCAGAGGTTTATGGGGGTGTTAATGTAGGGAAATCAGGAAGTGTATAAGCTTTCAACCTGCTGAGTGTAAAGTAAAGCAAGTAACATGCCTTTACCACTGGACTAGCCAAAGGACTTATGGCAGGTTCTCAGATGAGGTCAGGGAAAATTTTCTTTTGTGTCTGAATATTACACAATGGAATTGAATTAGAGGCATGAAGGTGAAGCTCTGCACATTCTAGACCATGGCACTAGATTGAGGTTTAGCCCAGTTTAGACATTGGTTTCTTTGTCTGGCAGTATCCCCTGGGGAAGTATTCTGTGGATCTTGGAGGACACTTTCTGAGGGTTTGACTGGATTAGCTCAGTACACGGTCCACAGGCATACTCTTGTAAACTTAATAATGAGCTGTCAGATTCTATAATTGACAGGCAAGACTGGCTAAGTGACTACTAGCTTCTCAAGGATGCATGATGTTGGTATGCTAGTACTGCAAAACCTCCAACCAGATAGAATTATATACCTCCATATTTGGGATTAACGCTACAGATGGAGGCTGTACGTTCCTCCTAATCGATAATACAGACCCATCAAACTATACAGCATCACTGTCTAGAAAGTCTAGAAGACTCAAATCTCAATTGTCAGTAGATACCAGTACCATAGATCAGGCCCTTAAATGTTCCACATTTTTTATTCCATAGACTTATTATTGAATAGAATTGAAATGATTTGATTTACATTCTATTAATCCTTTGAATACAAAACAACTCTGTCAATCAAATCAAACAAATCCCCTGCCAATCTTCATTCCATCAAATTCTCCACAAATAAGAATATCTAACTAATTCTAAATTGTAATCAACTGTAACAATTGTAACTATTGTAATTTTAGTCTTACTCATATATTAAATTGTTAATATTCAGAATTAACTTGACTTGTCCTATATCATGTACAATGATCTACAGTGACGAAATCAATCAATCAATCAATCATAAGTAAGTAAGTAAAATATATTAGTACAGACAACTGTAGCGTACAATTTTATATAACATTAATTTTATGTCATTCTCTATTTATGTTGAAGTATTCATCTATAGAGTAGAAGGAATGAGCATGTAGAAAATTCTTCAGTGCTAATATAAACTCTTTATTTTCATTACTCAAGTTTCTGATATATTTAAGCCAGTAAAGTGGGTACCTTTTTCATATATTGATAAATTTGATGAAGGTAGGTGAAATTTATATTTCTTTTCTATAGGTGTTGGCAATATTAAAATGGATCTTGGAGATAGGATGGTATTGATTGGATTGATCTGGCTCAGGATATGGGTAAGTGGCGAGCTATTGTGAACGCGGTATTGAGCCTATGGATTCCATAAAATGCTGGGAAGTTCTTGAGTAGCTGCACAATTGCCGGCTTCTCAAGAAGGGCTCAGAATCTATAGTGTGTATTTGTGTTATTGAAATCGAAACTTAATTTGAATTTATCTTATTATAATTGTTATTTTCAGTTTCCTGTAGATCGAATGATAAGTAAGAATCAGTTTTCACTCTACTCCTGCTTTATTAAGACTCAGAAATTTGACACAGAAGTACGCCTTATATACATACAAACTTATAACCATAGTAACACATAACAATACAAAGATACTGTATTCCTGTAATTGGTTATGCATCGTTATGCATGACCGTGCATGACTTCATGCATTCTGAAATTGGTTACGACAGTCACCGAAACGTAATGAATAGTAATGAAAGAGCCATATACGGCGCTAGTGTTTCACGTAAGGAACCATTTTCTTTGACACGTCAAGAAACGTGTGTGTTGTTTATTATATTGTAGGTAACTGTTGGTTTATGTAGGTTTTTGCATATTCGCAATTTCAACAATCATTTAACGGCATATTTATTTATATTGTTAATTTTACAGAGAAGTACAAATATGTGAAATGTGTCATTTCCTGGATTGTCATGTTTGTCAGTTATCTGTATTTAATATTTGTTGCAGTGTGATTAAACTATGTAAAACAGGATACAGGTCTTGCAGTATACATATTAAGAAAGAACAGTAATCAGAGAAGTTTTGGAAAAATGTATAAAATAATCAGTAGTCGTAGCTTGTGTTAGATAAGGTTAGGCCGCCCACCTTACAAGTTCTCATATGTCACAGCTACCAGTAAAGCCCTTGTCACGCCCTTAAGTTGTCTGGTGATCGATGTATTAAATTCTAACGATATGCTCCTTTTAATTCTGATAATTTAAGTGATCTACTAATACCTTTGTACCGTTAATTTCAATTTGTTGTTCCACAGGATGAGTAAATAAAATTTAAAAATAATGGTTTGATTAATAATGCATTTTCGTATCCATGGATTTTGTAACTGAGTTAGGATCTACGGAATGTGAATAAATGATGATGATGATCCAGATTTTTGCTTTGTATATTGCAATTTTTTTATTTGCAGGTATTTGATATTAAGTCAACATGGTTACAGTTGAGCAACCATGTTATACACTGATAAATTTACCGTCAGATTCTGACCCACCCAATGAGATGCAGCTGAAGATGGATCTTGGTATGTTATAATGTCCTTGTTTTGTTATGTGCCTAACTTTTGTTGTAATCATATCACTTGTATAGGGATTTCAAAAACTGTTCACATATGGTACTGTAACTTGTTTACCCTTATCAGATAAATCAAACATAAAGAACAGTAAGTTATGTGAAATATTGTTAAGTGGTCATATGAAAAAATAATAGAGTTAAAAGGATAAGGCAAATTAAGATGGTTAAATGCTGAAAAATATAATGTAACAGTAATGTAGGCCGCACCATAGCTCAAGCTGTTAGTCGCTGGCCTCCACTGCGGCGGCCTGGGTTCAGTCCCGGGTCTGGTCAAGTGGGATTTGTGGTGGACGAAGTGGTGCTGGGGCAGGTTTTCTCCGAGTACTTTGGTTTCCCCTGCCAATCTTCATTCCACCCAATTCTCCATCATAATCACCCGGGGCAGGTACAATAGGCCAGTCAGTGGCTGCCGTGTCGAGTGGACCCACCTGGAACAGTCATCAGATATCAGCTTCATTTATGAAACAAATTTTTAAGAACCCTGCAGTATTTGGACTTTGTACTGAAATGATGGGCTTTGTGTGTTTTGTATGTACTGATTTGAGTGACCGTATTGCTGTTAAAATTGCGGTGCAGTTAAAATTTATGTGCTTCACTCCATGGAATACCTTTAAAAATGCTGTCTCTGTTTTACTAGTTTCATTTAATGTTTCTTTGTAGTTTTATAATTACTTTATTATTTCAGAGAAAGGTGATATTAAAACAAAAATTGAGGCATTGAAGAAAACAATCCATATGATTGTCAGTGGAGAACGATTACCAGGCTTGCTGATGACAATAATCCGCTTTGTACTACCACTTCAAGACCACATGATCAAGAAATTATTATTGATATTCTGGGAAATTGTTCCAAAAACAACTCCAGATGGCAAACTTATGCAAGAGATGATACTTGTCTGTGATTCATACAGGAAGGTATGTTGCTTTTGGTCATGTGGAAGAAAGAATTAATGCAAAAGTTTTTTGGTAAATCATGTTGGTCAATCAGCAGTATGAATTTGGTGTTGAATTTCAGCATTATGTCTCTGCAGCATCAAAGAATGATGCTCTGTGTGGACATTGTTTTTCATGTACAAGGGGCAGACAGAATAATGGAAACACTAAGAAATTAAGGAATGGAATTTGTGTTAAAGAACTTCAATTGGCAATGCTGAATGTTCCTCATCTGTTTGTTTACACTCACTAGTGCCCATATCAGTGCATTAGTGGTTGTGTTGAATGAAAGTTCATGCGAAAGAATCGGAAAATAGGAAAACTGTGGAATGTTAAAAGGGACAGATTATTGGTGCGTGTTTAGCTGGAGCATCTATGACCAAAACTGCCACATTATTAGGTGCATTGAGAGCAACAGTTTCTTAGGTTATGTTGGCATGCACGAATCATGGGAAGACAACACACAGTAGGGCTGCACTTGCTAAACCTCTGATTACCAAAGAAATGCTCAGATGTGTAAATGATGGTGTCATGACCATAAAACCTGGACATCAAGCAACTGGAAACGTGCATATGATATGGTCAAATGAGCCACCCTTCATGCTATTCCCTACATCAAGAAAAGTTTACCTTTGAAAAACACCCAGGGAAGCCTACAATCTGGAATATTTGGTTCCAACAATGAAGCATGGGGGAGATTCTGTCATGGTTTGGGTAGCAGTGTCATGGTATTCTGTTGGTCCCTTCATTGCTATATGCTGCAAAGGAGTACGTGGACAAGTTGGGTAATCAGGTGCATCCAATGATCCAGATCTTATTTCTAAACAATGATTCAGTTTTCCAAGATGACAGTGTCCCCATTCACACAGCTGGAACTGTTCAGTTATGGTTTGAAGAGGATGAAGGTGAACTTCATCTTCCCCAGCCACCACCGTCACCAGATTTGAACATCATTTAACCACTCTGGTAAGATTTGGAGACTATAGTGAGGAACAGATTCTTACCTCCAACATCTCTAAAGCAACTTGAAGATTTTCTTCAAGAAGAATGGCACAAAATTCCACTAGAGTCTCTTCAAAACTTGTGTGAGTCCATTCCAAGAAGGACTGCAGTCGTATTGAAGGCAGAAGGTTGTCGAGCACCACATTAATGAAGAAATGTGTACAGTATCTGTAGTGTCTCCATTATTTTCTCCGACCACTGTACATGGTGTATGGAAATTTTTGCCTACAGATTCAGTTGTGTGATTCCTCAGTCAATATAGATGTGAGTATGTCCCTCGATAAAGTTTCATAGTGTAGTCCATAGCTGCAAATAGCTGGACTACTAGTGTATACATCATTGAGCCCACATTTTCAAGTACAACCAGTGACTTGTAAAGGACACTAGTTAAGGAAATGCTATGCTTCAGCAAATACTTAACTTTATTTCATTTTAACATTAGGATTTGCAACATCCCAATGAGTTCTTGCGAGGTTCAACATTGCGCTTCCTCTGCAAACTTAAGGAACCAGAACTTTTGGAACCATTGATGCCTGCAATTAGGGCCTGCTTGGAACACAGACATTCTTATGTCAGGAGAAATGCTGTTCTTGCCATCTTTACAATTTACAGGTACTGTTATAATGTGTCATCATGCGTTCCTTACTGTGGATACTGTTTGATCGTCTTTTTATCATATGATAGTTTAAGGAAACAGTAACATTTCCAGATATTGAAGTTCTTATAATTTTGTTGTGTGATACTACTCTGATGAACCCATAGTTTTGATCATTACTTATCGCGAAGGCCTCAGTTCAGTTCCAGGATGGTATGGAATGGGATTTTTGGTACACCGAGTGGCAGCAGAAAAGAGGTAGGAGGGTGTGCACTAGAGCCATCTGGCTTACTATAGGGTTTGGTAGTGTGTTCTTGTGAATGTGGGAATGAATTTTCAGGTTCCGTTAAAGGTAAGCACTCGGTAATTGTTACTTTCTCAGGAACAATTCTGCTTCATGGGGTTAATTTTAGTACTTTAGTCAGTTAGATGACAGTTATTAAAACTATTTTTTGTGTGTGTGTGTTTCACTTTTCAGAAATTTTGAGTTTCTCATTCCTGATGCCCCAGAATTAATTGCAAGTTTCCTGGAGGGTGAGCAGGACATGTCCTGCAAACGTAATGCCTTCCTTATGTTACTTCATGCAGATCAAGAAAGGGCACTGGCATACCTTGCATCTTGTCTTGACCAAGTAACTTCGTTTGGAGACATCTTACAGCTTGTCATCGTGGAACTGATTTATAAGGTATGTGGAGTTTATGTTGTCCTACAGAGCATACTTCAGTGAGCAGGTAATTGATTATGAAAAGTTATTAGAAAATTTCTGAGTTGTAATTACACTCTTGTAATATGAGATGAAGTTAATAGGAAATGGTCGTATCATTGAAGTATCTCCCATCCTGTTCTTTAATTTCTCTTCAGTATTTCCAACATGATAGAAATGCAGATGTATTCTTAAACTCTTGTGCTAATCTATCCTTTCGTAAGATGTGTGCCTGCCTGCATGCCAGCCTCACAGTCTATGTTCACTGTTTCTTCTATTCTTTGAGAACATTTACTAATGACATATTTTAGCAGAGTATGTAAGATGAATTTTTATACATTTTTCCCCATACAAATTTTGTATGAAACTTTCTTTGTATGCTGAAAGTCACTAGCATGCGGCAGTTTTTATAATTGGAATTTTTCCAAGAACTGTTTGTTGTTAACTACATTCTGAAAATTATATAAAGTGGTGTGTTGTAGCTAAGCAGTTGCAGATTTTGAATTCTGTCATGGCTGATATATATTAAAACTTTCCTTCAGCAGTATTTAGTATATTAATTGGTCTGTATAATTGAAATTACTCCATATGTGGGTTGTTAGGTTTGTCATGCTAACCCATCAGAGCGATCACGCTTCATCAGGTGTATCTACAATCTGTTGAATTCAACCAGTCAGGCTGTGCGCTATGAAGCAGCTGGAACTCTGGTAACACTGTCTAGTGCCCCAACTGCTATCAAGGTAAGATAATACATTTACCATAAATTTGTATTTGAATACTGCATCGTTGATTAAGTATCACACTTGTGAATATGGGATGTGAGAAATTTGTTTGTATAGTCTGCTCACTTCATCTGATTGGTAGACTTCTGTGGAATAAGAATAAAATTATCATTTGTCTGTTTTGTATGGGTTGTGAATAGTGTGACAACTCTGGAAGTACGTATTTACACTGACATGCCCATTGAAGGCTTCTTCAGAATGTGATGGCTATGGACAACACCATAATTGTAGGAAATGAAGTTGTTTGGTGTGTGACCACAGAAACTGAACTGTAATGAGCAAACATTAAATTGTGATTCCGCTCTACTCTCGTTTTTGCTTCACTGAAGTCTGATGACTGACTGTGACATATCCCATCTCATAATATAAAACATTTGGTTTAGATAATTAATGGTATAAACTATTCCTTGAACATCTGGTTCATGCATCAGTTATTTTAAAATACCATCTGGGGCTTACCATTTTAAGAACTTGTACTTAACCTTTAAAGTACAGACTTTTAAATTGTCGAGAGCCTGCTGTGGCCAAAATTTAAATGGCTCTAAGTCTTTAAAGTTGCAGACTTTCAGAAAAAATACATATTTTCCATTCTATGCAATATAGAAATACAAACTAAAAACAGCCTGAAAAACAATAAAATTTTCTACATATACACAAAAGGGCAATTTTTACAAATGAAATTCTAAAGGACTTACCCATAGTTTTTTCTCAAAACTTCAGATATGTTGATTTTATTGTCACTAA